TTTCCCTAAATTAGAATTCAATGAGGAAAAAGAGTCAAAAGAAAAGGAGACTGAGATAAGGCTATAGCTATTTGTCACTTTGGAATGAGGAGTTTCAATAGAAATGATAATCCATTGCATCCTATTGCCTCTCTTATGTTAGCAACAGAATTTAAAAGTACAGCAAATTCTTCAGAGTAGCACACAGGAAGTACTATGAATGTTAATGTAATGGTGAGAACTGGACCCATTTCTCAGAGAATGGTCAGGGCAATTTGCCTGCTGCCAGCCCATCTGGAGCCTTGGGGAAGTCCATGATGATGCATAATGGAGGGACCCTCAATCCCAGCGCATACTCTGAGCACTGCTCCATTGTCTAGTCTCCCATTTACATTATCAAAACCAAAGCACATAAGACAGTGGTAGCATTCGTCTTTTTAGATTATTCTAAAATCTATCCAAACATCAAAATCAGTTTTCTAAAGTTTTGTCACATCACCTGTGGGTCATACAACACTTAGTGGCAAGATGAGATTAACACTTCTACTGAAACTCTTTCCAAGATTGCCAATAGCTATGGTCTTTTTTCAGTCTTTATCCTTTGGGGTCTTTCTTCATTTGACAGCCTTTCCTTATTCTCTCATCCTTTGACTTCTATGGTTGTTCTTGTATGTGAGAGATCACTTTTCATTTTTTTCCCCCACTGGTTTTTTCCTATTATCATCTCTTGGATTTTTTTTTTCACAATGATTCTATTTTTATTGGGTTTCCATGTACTGGGTCCATGTATTGGGTTTTTCAAAAGATATGATGATATATCATCTCTTGGATAACTTGCATGCCTGTAATTCTATCCTCAACCTCAGGCTCCAGGTCCACATTTCCATCTGCCTGCTGGATACCTTCATCTTGGTTTCTTGTCGGCACATCAAAATCAGCTGATCCCAGCCTGAAGTCATCTTCCTCCCCTCCAGAGCTTCTCCTCTTAACCTATCCTATGTTGGTTGATGCCACCAACATTTTCCTGTTAAACGGAACTGAAATATTGTATTGATCTTCCCTCTCCCTCTCACCACAGCCTAAAAGTTGGCAAGTTTTAACCACTTTATCATTTCTTACATCTGTCAACAATCTTCCCAATGCATAATCCTGGCCACATAATTATTTTATTAAAAAAAAATTAGCTGTCCTCCATTATCTTAAAGACAACATACAATCTCCTTAATCATTGTGACATTCAACACCATCCTTACTCTGGTACTAAACTACCTTCCTGGCCTTATTTCACATTATTCCCCTCCACACACTCAACATTCCAGTCAAATCGAACTACTGGCCATTTCCAAATCCTGTGGTGGCCTCTGTGCATTTGCCCAGGCCACCTCTCCCATGCCTAAAATCAGTCTTTACCATATCTTTTTCCATCATTCTTTTTCTTCAAGGGCCAACTTGGGAGCCACTATCTCCAGGAAGCCCTCTCTGATCTCCCTAGCTAAAAGGGATCATACCTTCCTCCAGCTATCATGATTTTTGCCTTAGGACATTCTAACTTATATTTATTTGTATAAAAGCAGCCCTGCTATAACTGATTATACGCATTCTCCCCCAAAGCACTTCACTATGTGAAATCTCCCAATAAAATCCACAGAACTTATAGGGAAAATGGGATTGGGAGCACAACACTCAAAATTTTGTCAATGACACATAAAAAAGGATAGGAACCTAATAAAAATGGTAGCACAATTTTACACATGTAAATGAGTAAGAACTACATAAATACAATAAATAGAGGCCTGTTTGTAGCCTCAGGCTGCTGGTTGACCTGTATGGGGGCTTCATAAACAGGTTGGGCAGGCCAGACCTACTGGTGCTCCGGGGATAGGGCTGGGGATGAAGGTGGAGGTTAGGGTTGTGAGGACCAGCCCTCTTCATTCACAGCTCCTACCACAGCAGAAGATATACAATACGTATGGCACTTTATTTTGACAAAGACCTGAAGTTTACTTGAGGAAGTGGACATCAGAAGCATTGCAGCTTGTGAGTTATTGTGAAGTGATGTGGTTTTCTATATTCTCTCACTGTTTCTCAGGGAGGAAATCTTGTAGAAACAAACTTGAAATTCTAGTTATGCTCAAAATCTTCCCTAATATACCAATCAAGTTGGAGTAAATTGGTGTTTTCATTATGGCAGCACTGATTGTCCCTGTCTCTCTACTAGAGGGCATGTTCCTTGATGCCGAGGGCCGTGTAATTTGTCATCTTTGTATCCATAGCACCCTTGAGGTATGCTTACATAGTAAGTAGGTGCTTAATAGATGTTAGCTGAATTGTTCAACAGTGAAATAAATACTCAATTCTCTCAGGGTGAGAACATTGAAATAATACTCATTGCAAAGCAAGTGAGACAGATTCACAGATTCAGGATAGAAGGGAGTTCAGAGGCCAATAGTCCAACCTATACCTAAACACCAATACTCCCTACAACAGACCTAACAAGCTGTCATCTAGCTTAAAAGGTGCTACCTCCCAATGAACCCAACACTCCAGGTGCACTCTGACCAGGGCAGAGTACAGAGAGGCTGTTGTCACCAGCAGCAGCATTTGTTTATTTAATATGTATGTATGTATGTATATATACATAATACATATAAACATATACATACCTATGGGTATACATATGCACACATATATACATATATACACACCTATATAAGCATACCTACACATATGCACACATGTATACATACATACATATAATATACACATACCCATATGTGTATACATATATGCACACACATATAGTACCTATATAATATACATACATGCACACATCTATACATACATATATACCTGTACATATCTCTCTCTCTCTTTCTCTCCTCCTTTATCTCTCTCTCTCTCAAAAATTATCAGCTCATGCAGCTTTTTGACATGTCTGCCCTATTGGTTAGGTGGCATTCTTGATCCATGACTTTTTAACCTCCCTATCTAATCTGTCGCTATTTCTTCCTGTCATCTCTCATATATGTCTCCTCCCCTCCTCTGACCTTGCCTCCACCCTGGGGCAGGTGACCCTCATCCTCTTACACTAGAATTATTAAAATAGCCTGCTGGTTGGTCTCCCTTACACCTGTAGGTCCCTATTCCAGTCCATACTCTACTTAGCTATCAAAATGATCTTTCTAAGGTGCAGGTCTGACTTTGTCACCCTCCACTCGATAAACTTTAGTGGTTCCCCATTACCTTTAAGATAAAAGATACAATCTTTTTGGCTGTTGAAGACTTTCATATACCTCTTCTTATACCTTAGTCCTTACGATGTACTCTTCCATTCAGCGACACTGCACTCTTTGCTTTTCCTTGCACAGGACACCCCATTTCCCCACTCTGGACATTTTCACTGGCTTTCCCCGTGCCTAGAGTACTCTTCCTCTTCATCTCTACCTCCTGGCTCCCCTGTTTTTCTTCAAGAATCAACTAAAATCCCACCTTATTGCCAGTGGCTTCTCTGTGTTCATTATCTCTAATTTATCAAGGATATATCTTGTTTATATGTAGTTGTTTGCATATTGTCTCTCCCATTAGATTGTGAGCTTCTTGAAAGCAGGGACTTGGCCTTTTGTTGTATCCCCAAAACTTAGCACAGGGCCTGGCACATAGTAGGTGCTTAATAAATGCTTCTTGACTTGACTCACTGACTCGATGTACAGAGATTTCTATAAAACCACTAGAAATGATTCACAAAAAATAACAACAAAGGGCTGATCCTTTGGTGATTGAGGGTGAAGAAAGACTGTTTGATGGTAAAGGTTTCCCCGTGTGAGGTCAATGAACTTTTCCAGGCTTCGGAATACAGGAAATTTAGTAATGGCAAGTGGATGTCCTGAGAAAGAAAGGAAACAGCTGCCCCATGCACGTATGCCCTCCCCTGGACCAGCTCTTTTCCCTTAGCTGGCTAGTTTTTCCTCTTTCAGCCTCAGTACTACTGGCAGAAAAGAAGAAAGAGCTGTTGTTGACTATCACTAGGGGTCTACCAATCAACAGTCAGTCAACAACATTTCATGCAGAGGTAACAGTCAGAGAAGTTGGCATATGTGGGTAGGAAGGAGTGGTAAAGTATAGGGAAAGGCAGTGCCCAAATTGGCTATTGGCATTGAAGTGGTCAGTGGATGGATTGCTGGGCCAGAAGTCAGGAAGACCTGAACTCAAATCCAGCCTCAGACATTTACTAACCCTGGGAAAGTTGCTTTACCTGTTTGCCTCAGTTTCTTCACCTGTAAATTGAGGATAATATCAGCAGGGTTGATAATAATATTCCCAAGATTGTTGGGAGGAGCAAATGAGATAATATTTGTAAAGTGCTTGACATTAGTAAGTGCTATAAAAATGCTTATTCTCTCTCCCTCCCCATTGTGATCAGTCATCCTCAGTCATGAAGGAGGAAGAAGAGTTCTTATCAGAGAGGGCTTCCTGGAGATGGTGGCTCCCAAGTTGGACCTTGAAGAGTTCTTATGTACCTACTTCAGTGTCTAAAATGGAATATTAAATCAATTAGGGTTAGCATGGTATAGTGGGAGGAGTGCTGGATGTGGGCCCAGCAGAGAGACCTGGGTTTTTCCACCTTCAACAATTCTGAATGACCATGACACATCACATAGCCATTCTCAGCCTCAGTTTCCTTATCTGTAAAAAAGAAATAATACTTAGAGTACTTACCATATAGGTTTATGGTTAGAATCAAGTGAGTCAATAAATGTGAAATACTTGCAAAGCTTCAGGTGCAACATAAATGTCAGCTATTATCAATAACACTGGACCCATTTGGTATTTTATTAGAAAGTTCATAGCATGTTATATTCATTGAAACCCCAGGATAGGCATCAGGAAACCTGAGCTGTATTAGTGCCTCTTTTACTACCTGGCTTAACATCCTCAGCCTCAATTTCCTCATCTGTAAATTAGGAATTCTTGCTTTTTGCAAGGAGTGCTATAATTAATTAGTTCTTCTGTCGCATTTTTAAAAATATATGAAATGCTTCACAAATGTGCCTGTCGTTTTTGTCCAGGAACCACGAGAATCTTTTCTGTATCATTCTGACATTAGCACACGGGCTGCCGAAGCAAGCACTTGAAGCATTTTAGTCTAGGTAAAATGAACACAAAGTATTTCAACAAATGGAGAACTCAAAGGATATTCTCTTCAAAGTCACAGTTCTAAAACACTAGTAAGACATGCAACATGAAAACGAGAGCCATTTCTGAGCCCACAAATAAAAGGAAGTCTCCTGCACCAGCTCTCCCCACAACCTTCTTTTTTCATTTTCCATCTCAACAACTTTAAAATAACCAACAGAAGAGATTTACATTTCTGAAAAAGTGCTTTCTTGGACCACATGTGGATAGTTTCTTCATGAGTGGTTTAATTTTCGATTCCTGGAAGTTAGAATATTGGATCTAACTATAGCACTGCCAGAAAAAAAAATGCTGTAAGAACACCAATAATAGAAGGCTGCCTCTCTTGAATGTGATTAACTAACCCTGACACACCCCTCTATTGTATTTGGAAATGCAGTCTGCAATAGATCACAAGGAAGCAAACTGTTTATTGATTGAAGAGATTCATTAATAAAATAATCATTATCACCATCATTAGTTAATATTTATTGAGAACCAAGTGAGTATATAGCACCTTACTCTCCAGCATTATAATTCCTGTAGAGCTATAGAATAAAACATCAAGTTAACTCATGAATAACAAGAATATTTTTTATTATTACTTTTGCTTGCATATGAGAGTGAGGGTGTGTTGCGTTATTTGGGTTTTCTGATTAACTAAGCATTAAGTAGAAACAACATTTGGACTCCATTGTTGCTGAAAATTTTTCTAAACTCTATTTGTCATACTTTCCTGTCAATATAATGAACATCATGCAACATTTATGTCTCTGAGGTCCTTGGAGCAGATGAACTTTTTCCATATTTTATGGGGATTCCAGGCTACCACATACTTCCTGGCCATTGTCAAGCCAGGTGTCCATTCATATTTCCTCAATGAATAAGGATCTTAAAATATCTCAGGGTCATCTTAATCAATAAGCCACATTATGTAACACTATAGTTGTTGAGGGCAGCTAGGTGGCAAAGTGGATGAAGTACCAGGCCTGGAGTCAAGAGGACCTGAGTTAAAATGTGGCCTCAGACACTTACTAGCTGTGTGATCCTGGGCACGTCACTTAACTCTGCTTGCCTAAGTTCTTCATCTGTAAAATGAGCTGAAGAAGGAAATGGCAAACCACTCCAGTATCTCTGGCAAGAAAACCCCAAACAGGGTCACAAAGAGTAAAAAATGACTGAAAAACAAGTTGAAGGTATTCTATATTGGGATGAATGCCTTAATTTATGCACCTAGTATATATACAGGAGAATGTATCCTTTCAGAAAAATATACCTCTATGCCTGTCAAGCCAGGGGCTCTTTTAATTTTTGTCTTCGTAGCCCCAGTACCTAGTCCTTAAAGAATGTTTGTTGAATTGAATTGAATTGTTGAATTTATTGAACAATTCTTTCAACAGATATTTATTAAATATCTTCCATATATGGAGCCCTGTGCCAGCTCTTGAAATTTGCATTATCACTTGTTAACGCTAGTGTGGGGAAAAATCTGGTTAAAGATTCTGGTTGTTTGGGTTTCAGTTGATCAAGGTTTCGCTGTGTAAAAAATAGGAAAGAAGGAAGGAAAGAAGTATTTATTAAGCACCTATTCTGTGCCAGGCACTGTGCTAAGTGCTTTACAATATTATATCATTTGATCCTAACAACAACCCTAGGAGGCAGGTGCTATTATTATCCTCATTTTACATTTGAGAAAAGTGAGTCATACAGAGATTAAGTGACTTGCCCAAGGTCATATAGCTAATAAGTGTCTGAGGCAGGATTACCTGTCCACTGTACCACCTAACTGCCTCTTTAGGCTATTTGAATCATTCTCTTGTACCTAAACTGCTCCTAGGGTGGGGGAGGAGTGAGAAAGGAGTGTCAACAACGGCTTTTAGCTTTTGTTTTCCAGATCCAATCTTCTAATTTAATTTCTCCTTTACGTTTCAGTTTCCTCTTCCCACTCCAATCCATCCTGCACAGAGATGCCAAAGTGATTTTCTTTAAGTGCAGATGTGACCATATCACTACTCTACTCCTTCAACTCTATGCTCCCTATTGCCTCTAGGATAAATGAAAAACTCCTTTTGTTTAGACTTTAAAAATCCTCCACAATCTGGTTCCAAACTCCAGACTTACTGGATATTACTCTCCTTCCAGCACTACATAATCTAGCTACGCTGGCCTTCTTTACATTCTTCATTCACAACACTCCATCACTCATCTGTCTTTTTGTACTGACTGTCACTCAGACCTGGAATGCACTCTATACATACCTCTTCCTCACAGACACCCTCTCTGCCTCCAAGATGAGGCTCAAGCACCCCTGTTTACATGACGCTATTTCTGTTCCTCCCAATGGTTAGTACCTTCCTTCTCAAACTAGATAGTATTTAATTCCTTTATTTGGATTTACCATCTTTGCATTTATTGTGTATGAAATATGTATGTGTGTATATATGTATATGTATATATATACTTACATATGTTTTTAATGTGTACTCATTGTCTTTGCCATTCAAAATGCAATCTCCTGAACATAAAAATTGTGGTTTTTTTTGCACTTCAATACCCAGTATGTTCCTGGCACATCATACATGCTTAAGAAAGATTTGTTGACTGATTTTTATCAACTTTCAATGATAATAATGATAATGTGTTTTCCATGTAAGAAGATCTTATTTACTAACCCGAGGCATGCTTTTTGAGGTGTTTTTCCAATTCTGATGATAGATTTATACTGATCAAACCACATTACACTTTCTCGTCCAGATTTGTTTATAGCCTAGAATCGTCTCTCTGTCTCTCTCTCTCTCTCCATTTACTCTTGGAATTCCTATTTTAGTCAGTCAACGTTTATTAAGCACTTACTGTGTGCCAAGCATTCTGTTAAACCCTGGGGATACAAAGAAAGGCAAAACTAGTCCCTTCCTTCAGGCTCATATTCTAATGGGGGAAGATGACATGCAAACAATTATGTACATATAAGATACATACAGATAAGAAAGGCAATCACAGAGGAAAGGCACTAACTAGCATGAAGGGAGAGTAGGAGAGACATTGCAAAAGGTTGAATTTTTTTTTATCTGAGACTTGAAGGGAGCCAGAGGAGCCAGGAAGCAGAACTTAGGAGGGAGAGCATTCCTGGCATGGGAGACAGCCAGAGAAAATGCATTGGGTCAGGAGATAGAATATCTTGTGCAAGGAACATAAAGAAGGATAATGTCACTCTTATCAAATAACACTGTGGGGACCAAGGCATGAGAAAAGGCCAGGTTAAAAGCCAAACAGAGGATTTTCTATAATCCTAGAGATAATGGGGAGTCCTTATAGTTTGGTGAGTAGGGGGTGTCATGGGCTTTAGGAATATCATTTTGGAAGCATGGTGGAGGATAGCCTGAATTAAGAAGGGACTCGAATCAGGAAAACCAATCAGCAAACAATTACAGTATTCTAGGTGTGAGGTGATGAGGGTCGCTCACCCCAAGGTGGTAGCAGTATTAGTGGAGAGAAAGGGTCTTATCTGAGGGATATTCCAAAATTAGAATGGGCAGAACCTGGCAGCAAATTGGATATTGGGAATGAGAATGAGGAGTGGAGTATAACACTGTTGTTGCAAACCTGAATGACTGAGAAGATAGTGGTGCCCTTGACAGCAACAGGGAAGTTAGGAAAAGGGGCAAGTTGAGGAGGAAAGATTATGAGATCCGTTTGGGACATATAGAGCTTGAGTTGTCTATGGGACATCCATTTATGTGTCCCATAGGCAATTGAAAATGCAAGACTGTAGGTCAGGAGAGAAGTTAGGGCTGGATAAATAAATCTAAAACTCACATGCGTAAAGATGACAATTCAATCTATCTCAAGTGCCACCTCTCACACAAGACCTTTCCTGATATGACAACTTTTAATACTCCCCTGGAAATTGATTTGCACTTATTTATCTGTGAACATGTTTTAAACTCCCAGTAGAATGTAAGCTCTTTGAGGGCAGGGAGTGTTTCACTTTTGTTTTTGTATCCCCAGCATCTAGAATGATGAATGGCATATGGGCACTTAATAAATGCTTGTTGGATTGGATGGAATTGAATTGTTAATTGCCTTTCTCTGTAAGGCAGCTGGCTTGGTTTTGAACAGGAGGTTTATGATTGTGCAGCAGATCAAACCAACTAACTGCAAGGATTGTACTAGTGATCTTGTTTTGGACTCATTAGTACTATACTCTGATCAGTGATAGTCAGTTGGCTTAGAATTTGTAGATGGAAGATTGCCTGGGAAGTTCTTTAACTGGCCCTGGCCTCACAGCAGAACAATGATGTTGTCATGAATAGGCTGGTTTGACTCTAAAGTTAAAGATGGAAAGCCTGTTTTAGAGAGCTGTCTTTAATATTAAATTTTGTTTTGCATGGAAGTCTTTTTTGAAGTGCACCCTGCAATCACAATTACATAATATACCCCCATATGAAACTAACTGGAAATGAAGTTTGACTTGAGAATTTGATTTAGGTATAAAAAATGTTTACTGCTCTGCAATAAGAATGTGATGTTCTTTTCTTCTTCCAGACATGGACACAGTGTTCCTTTGAAAGCAGTCAGGTAATTTTCCTAGGTCAAAATGAACCTTCTCAGGCTCTATGTCATCTTTGTGATTCTGCCATAAAAAAGAACAAGGGGAGGGGAGGAGGAGGGAGAGTGGAGGAGCTAAAAAGCGCCTGTCCATAGAAAGGCATGATTTCAGCTGAAGCAGATTTCAGTTTTCAAGACAACATGAGACTAGGGAGAGTAGCAAGCATGGCTGTTGAATTTTCCTCCTAATTGCTGAACTGACCACTTGGTGACAGGGGGAAGGCTGGGGCATTTAATAGTTGATTTTTCATGGCTACTAGAGTGGTCCTATCCTGGTTCGGATCCCTATCCTGGAAACTGGATAATAATCTGTACTGATGGGTCCATTTTGGCTTGGAGGAAGTTGCT